AACTGAATTTGGTTGTGATTCGGATATCTGGATATGATATTTGTAGTGATCCGGTAAATTCACAAATGAAGATAATTTTTATATGTTTTGCCTCTTGTGAATATTGAACTAGAGACATGCATTTGGAGACTAGGGAGCATTATCTACTATGCTATTGACCCATTGGTTTATCAGAAATTAATTTTTAAAAAATAAAAAAATAAATAATTATTTATTAAAATAATTATTAAATCATATAATTAAATAATTATTAATTAGTTAATTTTTTTGCTAATCTCTTTGCCAACTCAAAAACAGATGTTTTCAAAAATATTTTTTTATTTTTGATAATAAAGTCTATATACTTTCTTTAAAACCATATTCCTGAAGGCTGATGCCTCTCCCACTTATCTATCTTTCTTTTTTCTAAAAACTTTATATGTTTTAATAACAAAATAAACAAAATTTTATTCATTTGGTTTATGGCAAGAACACCTTACTAGAAAAAAGAAACCTATCGAAAAAACACTCTCTATTATATTCTCTCTAGGTCTGAAACTCCAGAAAGTGAACCATTAATAAATGCATTTCCCAAGCTCTATAAAAACTTTGGATTTATTATAAGTAAACAACCTTTGGTCTAAAGACAGGTGGATAAGCTATTTGGGCCTATCAAGTAAATATATTTTTCAAGCTTCATAGAAATTTTGGATCCACCATAAGTTGAAATTCTGTGGTTCAGGTGGATGGATAAGTTGGTAGGAACCTATCTATTTAGATATATGATTTTTTTTCATCAGTTATATATGTTTGTAATAATACTTTCAAGCATGGCAAATTTTTTGTTGGTTTTTCTAAGAAATTTTGCCTATCTTAGTTTGATCCTGAATTTTTTGTTACATCAGAATTTCTGATTGGTGATTGGCTGAAATTTTGGACTGGTTGATCAATGCATAAAAGAAAAGTAAACAAGACATATACTCCCATATGTTTCATATTATACTATACTACAACTAATAATGCAATTGGATAATGATGAAAGAGCAAGGTGTTGAGGCATCCTCTTGATAAAAAGTGGCTTGAAGTCTTCCCTCTCCTTTTTTGTGCTGGTTTCTTTTCTCCTCAAGATTAAAGAAGGCTCTCATTAGACTGATGATTGGTTTAAATAGATTTTTATTTACCAGTACAAACTTTTCCTTCTCCTTTTATTTTCCCTTTATTTCTTAGAAAAATAAAAATTTTTTTTACTTCTTAAGACAACAAGATTGTATTAAGGTAATAGTCTGAATGTAGGTTGGCATTAATTTCTTGGAATAAAGATCAAATGTATTTAACTCTAGGAAGGAGCAACTTTATCATTCTCTACAATCACACTTAGAAAGTTAAGATTTGAAAAGTTTAAGATAGTTAGTATTACGCAGTAATAGCTTAATGAACTTACTCTCTTATAATAAAATAATTAGTAAATAGCTAGATCATGTAGGCAATATGGTAATCTTGATATTAAGGATTCAAGAATCATATACAAATCTGAAACTTGTTGATGGGTGTTCTGCTATAATGGATAGTTTAGCTTTGTATAATGTAATAACTAGGAAATGGAAACCATTGTGTGTCCGGAGTAAAAATGTTAATAAATTTAAAATAGGAATATTTTTTTAATATTAAAAACTTTTTAATAATATTATTATTTTTATTTTATTTAAAAACTTTATATAAATTTAATAATTAATAATAATAATAATAATAATAATATGATTAATAAAAGCCACACATGTATCGCACTTAGCCCCCCAAAATAATAATAATAATAATAATAATAATAATAATAATAATAATTTAATTTTTAATGTTGATATTTTTTAATATTTAAATAATAATAATAATAATAATAATAATAATAATAATAATGCGTCCGTTTTCTTAAAAATTTCCATATATGGTAATTTTGGTTAAAGAAAAATGTTTTATACTCTTTATCGCAAGTGAGCCCCAGCTCAGGAATCCAAGAACACTAAAGACAACTGGTGCAGTGGGATGGGACCTCTGGTCGAAATCTACTCAAGTTTGGGAGTCTTGTTTATCCTTCGGTTGCATGGGGAAAGGCCCGTGGCGGTATACTTTGATTCTTTGGTTCTCTTGCAACCCATATCTCCTTTTTATCATGAAAACCACCTCATACATACCATCATAACCGTTATATTCATAAACACTTTCCAAAAAACACATTCAAACAAAGTTGTAGGTTCTAATGTTTGTCTCAACACAACCTTCACATATTTTTCTATCCTGGCATCACTTACTGCACCATTCAAAAAAAATCTTCAATCTTTTTTGATCCTAAAAACCGAAATCAGTTTACCCCCTCCAATTGATCGACGTCTGGCAATCGTCCAATCAAAATTCACTACATTACTCAAACCAAAACAACAAAACTGGTTTAAACCGGTTTTTCAATCCAACCACAATAACAATAACAATAACAATAACAACAACTGGGTCAAACCGGTTTACCTGTTCATCCCTACCATAACAATAACAACTATTATAGTAAACAACTTCAAGTATATTCTACTATCCGTGTCAAGAAAAGAAGTATCAACAAGTCGCAAAGAACTGGAGAGACGGGACAACGAGCCCGGCCGGGGGTTCTCTTGGGGGTTCTACTTTTATTTTCATAGATTTTATAATTTACTCGACTTAGTTTCAGTTTTAGTTAGCTTTATTTTTTTCTTTTTTCAAATTTCCAAAATGTAAAAGCTTTTTTTGGGTAGGTAGTGTTATCGTCACCGGCGAGTCTGTCACTAAAACGGTGCACTCTTCGCGTGACGATAATCCGAACACTTGAATTATGGCACTAAAATAAGGTAAGGCTTTAACTCCGAGGTGGTTACAATTTGGCCGACTTTCGCACACTTGCTAATCTCTTCTTGACCGTCTTTTCCTCTAGGCGTGTCTCAAGATTACAAGTGTCACTCTCTTACGGTGCAAAAGTAACGTCGTGTCTCTCCTTTTCAAAGGCGGTTTACTTTACAATAGTGGCGTGAACTTAGTTTATACTCTAAGGAATGTATCTTGTTTATTGTGCGAAGCGAAGTAGCATTTATTTAATAAAGCGGGAGTGTGCCAAAAACAGAGAAGTGTTCTAAAACGGAACTGATCTAGAACTTAGAACTTGTTGTTCGAAACTAACTCTAAAACTATTCTATTTATATGCCTTGTTAACGCGTAAATACCCAGTATATGCTATTACTAATTATTACATCATTCCATCATCACTGTCTCTATTATTTCGCAACACGCCACAATATCGCGTTCTCATCCCTATTGTTCCCATAACAGTAGGCATAGCCACTACTCCCTTTGTTTAACAATTAGTATAGTTTAAAATTTCTTTTCTATACTAGTTAAACATCGTAAGAGTAGGCAAGCTAGCATTAAACTTATTGTATGCTTTTGCATCTAAGAGATGTTGGTTCTTTCTAAAAGGTATGCCTTGATACGTACGAAATAAATAAAGAACTGGTGTTTACCTACTTTAAAAAAAAAAAACAATGTTATTAAATAAATTATTATATAAAAAAAATTGTAAATTAATTTTTTTTCAACTTTTATTGTATTAAAAACAAAATTTTAAAAAAATATTGTTATTATACTGTAGTTATATATGATATAACAAATTTATTGTTAAAGAACTTATTTATAAAATTGATATAAATAAATTAATTAATTATTGAATTATTAGTAAATATATAATTCTGGTTTTTTTTGCACCACACTGTATGTATTAAAGGATCTAAAATCATATACTATATATTAGTATTAAAAATCATTTACGTTGCTTATATGATCAAAAACATCTATAAATAATTAAATAAACAATATGTTTTACTTTTTAATAAATCGATTTTTCTTTTATGTTTATCGATCAGCATATAATAATTAATTCGTTATATATGTTATTATTATTTTCGTTATTTTTCCAGCGAATCGTTGATAAACCATAAATAAAAAGCCCTTCTTTTGCAGATAGAACCAGATTTTGGTATACGTGCGTGCTTATGTATCCGAGTATCGCGCAATCGTTGATAACATGATTCGTGTAACGTATGATCGATCGATCTTTTATTATAAGTGTTATATTGAGATCAAAGTCTACTCAAGTACACACGTATGTACGATGCACTTTTTTTTTACCGCGAAAAAGCATTTCCCACTAATATTTTTTTTTTCCAAGCCACATTAGATCTTTCTACTCAACAAAAAGATTTAAAAGTATTGAACGATTTACATACACGTGTGATTTGTGGTAGATCACTGATTTTCTATTGGTCGAATCAATTGGTACATGTTCTTTTTCTTTTTAGGCAGGTGAATAGTATAATAATAATTGGCATAATAATAATCGCACAATCAGTAATTTCCCAACAACTCATCTTACTAATTAAAGAAACACTACCCGCCAACAATAAGTCTGCTGACTGGGGTACCCCAAATTTAGTAACGATTTTTTTTCAGCCTTTGTCATACCGAACGATCAATCGATAAAGATTGTTTCACGGACGAATGGCGAGCGTGACAGGTAGAACTGGTAAGTGGGAACATTAACCATTTGGAAAAACGTTCTATCGACAAAACCCCGTGTAACGTTGTCGAACATTACATAAAACTATGTATGTACAACCATTGAAAAATGACACGGCCGTTGATAGGCTTGCACCCCTCATTACGTATGAAATCTCTCATCCTTTTATTTGTATATAAACCACCGCTCGACCTTTTATTTCAAATTCCTCTTACTGTATATAAACATTTTACCCTATGTAAAACATATTAATCTAATATTATATATATATATATATATATAGAGGAGCCTGCCTGCTTACCTTATAAAATCACTACTCCCACATATATATACTCCAAAAAAAAAAATTTTCCATCCACCTTTTAAGGTGACACCGTGGTAACACTATGGTAACCTACAATTGTTGGCCATATCCGTTCAAATCGACAGTGAAAAAATGGGTCGTGTAAGGCGAGACAGTCTAGCAACAGCAGAAGAAACAATTGACGGCAAAGCAGTGTCTATTGACTCTAAGGATTCCTTGTCAAAATTTAAAGACTCGACGTTCGTGAACAGTAGTTTTTGTACTAAATGCAAAAAAGAAGAGAGTGAGTATTGGTTTTCTAAGTTTTTTCTTCTATCAAGTCTTCCTGCTCGTTCTAAAGTTGTTTTTCTCCAGCGTAAGTTCGTGTTTAGAACCAATTCCTATCTCCTATTAACCTTTCTCATCCAATGTCTCTTCGTTCTTTGTTTCAAATTAGGTATTGACGGTCGTTGGATACAGTGCGATAAATGTTTGAAATGGTATCATACCGCATGTGTGAGGATTCAATTAGACAACAACGGTAAATTCTCGGGCGACTACTATTGTAGGGAGTGTAGACGTTTAGCAAAACAAGCAAAACGGGAGACTTCTCCGAAGTATGTAATTACTCTTTGTTTTACCTGAATTAGTGTTTTTTTTTTCCTTTTTTTTTTTTTACGCCACAGCTTTTACTTTATTTCCTTGCAAGGTTCAGTTTCTACTTACTAATAAATAAACACATTCAATTAATTCATAGTGAAAGAGATTGCAAAACGAGTAGAAGGCTTTCAGTCTCTTCAGCAGGCTCGTCACGTAGTAGCGAAGGCAGTCACAAAAAATTGAAAACCTCGAATGGTTCGGCGTCACGTATGACACCACCACTCTCCGAATCTTCTACTTCTTCAGGGGACCATAATGGTGTAGGGGCCATGGAAATTGAGGTGGACCAAGCAGCTCCCAACCGACATGACAACTTTGACAATTCTAATGTTAATGGTGTGTACAAAGCTTTGGTTCTAATATTTTAAAGGGAATTAGTGTGTACAGAGTACGAACATTAGTTCTTTTGACTATGTCACACACCTTTTTTTCCTTTTCTCTTTGTTACGCTCTCTGCTTATACCTTTCTACACATATTACAGAATCGCAGAAAAAGCAAACGTGCAAGCTGCAAAAAAATGGCCCACCTCAAAAACCTAACAATATTCATTATATCAACGATCATCCCGCTACCATTCCCAATGGTCACGGTCTTGGCCATGGTGGTCGCAAAGAGAAAAAACCTTCATTTTCTACCACCACCAATGATGCCGCAGAATCACCAATATTATTTCATCCTTATAACTGGCCCCATCCAGTATCATATAATCGCGCGCTTCATCGTGTAGCTCAGATTCGGGAGTTCATCTTGACTCATTGTCCAGCCGCTGCTTCTTCACTGCCGTTATCATCATCAGTTGGTGATATAGGTGTTAACGGCATTGGAATAAACATGATGGATGGTATCGTCGATAAAACAACTCTCCCCGATTCGTCAATAAAGATTGCGATCGGTTTATGGTATAAACTGGAAAGGTTGGAGAAATCGCATAACAAAAAACATCTTTCATTATCAAATCATAATATTAATTCACAGTGATCTTTTTTGCATACACGACGAACGAAAAAAAATTAATTATTGAAAAGAAAAAAAAATCGAGAAAATGAATATCCTCTTTCTCTTTGATTACAATCATTTGCATCATGTTCGTTGCGAAAAAGTGAATGGAGATGAATTGAATCAGGAATTTGAACGTTCTTGGTCAACCTCACTCCAATATCACGGCTAGATTTGATTGATGGTTGATGTTAAAGATGATACTTCATGTATCGCGACAGGTGAACAGCAGTTGTAATCGTAGAGTTTGCATATATGTATTATTTTCCTTATCACCTTTATTTGCACCGTAGTGTCTTCTGCGGATATTTGTGTAAGCTACAAAACTTGCAAGTAAGATGAAAAAAAAACCCCCTTTTTTTTTCTAAATTTTGACTGTAAATATTTCTCCGTCTATTTTTTTTTCCAACAAAAGAACAATCAGAATAAATTTTCCGATAAAATAGATAAAATCTAGTTTTTAAATAAAATTTTTTTATTATGCAACCGGAAATGACGATTTTATTAATTATTTTACGTGGCATTGCATGTTCAAATTAATTTCCAGTCCATTCTAATTAGATTTACAGTATAACCGTTATTGATATCATTATAATTTTTACGAGATGAGTTAAATACAATGAAAATATAGTAAATACTGTAAATGATACCATTTGTTTATAATATACAGTACATTAAAATTATTTTGCTAATTTTTTATTTAATAATATCAAAAAAAAATAAGAAAAATTCTTTTTATTCTTTTTTTTTTTGAAAAATTTTCTTTTAAAAATTTTAATAAAACAAAGAAGTATTTATCAAGTTTTTTTTTTTTTTTTACTATTATTAAGAACTTGTCAATTGATTTTTTTTTTTTTTTTTTTTAAGTTTTTAATAAATAGGTTGAAAGTTAATATTAAATATGTTAAATTCAACCAATTATTTTTTAAAAAATAAAAATATATATAAATAACTTTTAATTAGATTCATTGAGATTTTGAATTATAATAATAATAATAATTATATAAAAAATTTTTTTAATTTGATTTTTTTACTTATATATTGTAAACAAGCAAAAATTTTTTATTTAAAATTAAAATTAATTTATTTTCTTTAAATAAAAGATTAATACAATAACTTTATAACTTTTCAAATTATAACTTTTCAAATTATATTATTATTTATTATAAATATTATAGTTAAAATAATAATATTTTATTTTATATTAATATTATATAAAAAATTAATTTAAAAAAAATTTTTTTTTACTTTTTTTTTTATATTTAAAAAAATTTTTTAAGCTATTTATTTTTTTTGTTTTTTGTTTTTGTTTTACTTTTTATTTTATTTTAACTTTTTTTTTTAAATTTTAAATTTTTTTTATAATTCTTTTAATTTTTTTCATATATATATATATATATTTTCTTATCAAAATTAATATATTTTTTTCTTGAAGTTTTGTCTTTTTAAGCTTTTTTATTTCTTTTTTTAAAATTTTTTTTTTTTTTTTTTTTTTCCGTAGTCAAACAAGTGCGTATGTTTATTAAATCTTTACAGAAAACAAATAATG